TTCACAATGTTTTGAGTCATAGTTGAACTTTATTCATCTGATCAAAACAATCCGAGTTACTGATATTTGTATCCGAGTTCCATTGAGTTTTAGATGCGAGGGATGACTATTTTGATGAAACGTAGATGATAAAAAAAACTTATCATAGTAAACTTCTTCTTGTAGACTTGGAATCTCTCCAATACTCCCACCATTGAGAAGGAAAACAGTTCTGTAGCTGTATTCTCAAAACCATGCGAATGATTTCGAACACTTGATTTTGAATAGTTGCGTTCTCGAGCGTATTCGAAAGTTTTCGCATGCATGTGCGTGGCAACATTGGAAATTAGTTTTATCTCTTCTCTGTCTAACAAAGAAGTATATTTTAGGGCGATTTCTCCTTCGATATCTCTTTTTGTTTACAAATATTATTTTAAGGATACGAAATTAAAAAATAGTCGGAGTAATAGTTATTTAGTATTATCCTTGTTTCCTATTTCTTGACCGAACTGAATATGTATTTGTAAGAGAAACAAGAAACTGGACACGACGTAAATATAATGCACATACTAGTCAGGAGCAAAAGTTAGCTCTTGTTGATTATGAACACAAATAAAGATCTGTCAAATAGAAAATTCTCATCCTCTTTCACTGTTTAAGATTCCCCAAAAATGACATTGGTCACGTCCTTAGATACTAAAATATTTGACAAACACCCTTTCAGATATTTAGAACGGATCAAATCTATAATAAAGTACTCATGGATCACGTTAAACAATTTCTCGCTGCAATTTAATTTTCAATAGCTGCTGAAATAGATGTTTCATCATCAAATTAGCCATTGTCCGAAACTTGTTAATCTAGGATTAGGTTAGGACATTTAATATCAAAGCATGAAATCGCACACGATTTTGTAGTTCAAATGATGGGATACAATTCGAGTGAAATCGAACGCAAACTCTTTAAATTTTCTCGAACATGACTCATTTCAAATGCGAATTGACGTCATCTCGTATGTGAAAAAGAACATTCGAATTTCGAAAATAGCCCCCCTGGACACTGTTGTGCAAGACTGATGTAATAATATATAATTTTCTGTATTTTTAAACATGGGCAGAGCCAAATAAAACGGGGAGCAGATGTTCAAATCACCACAGAACGTCAATGATATTTGGCAAAATCTGGGTGATGCCAAGAAATTTCTCGACTGTTTATACACTGAGTGGTACACAATTGCTTCAAAGTATGACATGAAAATCTATATCCTGTGGACGGTTTGTAATGGATTGAAAATGAACAGTAACCAAATCATAAAATGAAGAGGAAAAGTATTAAGGATATTTGTTTAAATCCGGTTGTCTGGATTGAGGGAATTATATACTTACTTTTTTCTTTCAGTTTTTCTAATCAGAATGAGTTTTTGCCGTAAATTTGCCGTTTTTCGACGCACATAACTTTCTCTCCTTAAGAAGTACCTTCTTAAGGGCGAGAAAGTAAAAATAGTTCATATTTGTATGGCAGTACTTCGTGCTTTGAGATTTAAATTTGTGGTTCTACAGAATCGCACAGACTTTCTCGTAGTAGTTTTCTGATTTCTTTGCTCTCGCCTAGCTTTTCGGTGTTGTCCCATCCTCTTACCAACTGCCATCCATCACAGCCCAAAGCACGTTCTTTTTAAAAAAACAAACAAAATCTTTCATTTTTTTGTTTCCTGATGATAGAACCAAAAAATTACTTTAAGAAAATTATAGAAAAGTAAAATCTCGTCCTATATCGATATATTCGTTGAAAAATTTGGAGCCTTTTTAAGAAAATGTTGTTTCAGCCTTTCCGTAAATGCGGAATTTGAAGCTCTTTTTCACAGGATATTGGAAGTTATTTGAAGCACTCCCACTCACAAATGCAGTCGTGTAATGCGAATCGCTTGAAATGTGCGTATTAACGGCGAGAGAGATATTTTTAAAAAATGCACCGGCGATGGTGCAATATTTAGCGTATCGGACTGTTATACCCAAGTTGACGGCTTCCTTCGGAGGGGAAGTAAAGCCGTCTGTCCCATGTTAGTAGATTTACTTGTATGTAAAACATCCTCAAGCGCAAATGACGTCTCTGAGCTAAATTCAAATCGCCTGTTTCGTCGCCCAAGAAATACCTTCTTTCTCCGCTAGTGGCTGAAAGAAGCGTAGCGAAATTTGCGTGGTCAGACAGTGGGCCTGATGGCCCGAGTTTCGCCACGTAAAATAAAGCATTCATTCAATTCAATGTATACCATGCGTAATTTTTGAAAAACAAACAAGCGAAATAATATAGCAAAATGGCGTTTCTGTCATATTACAGTGTCAAGAGTTCACAGAGCACAACAATTTTGAAGAAAACATTTGGAGCCGGTTTTGAGAAAATCGCGATTGAGCGTTTCCGGAAATGTGGAAATTTGAGCTTATTTTCATAAAAACGTTTTGAGTTTTTTTTGAGAAGCTTTTTAAGACATCATTGGAAGCACATGTTCTCATAAATGTAAACTAATCGCCGCTATTGTAAATATTAACGACGTGAGAGACAAGTAAAAAACAAATAAAAAAACATTTTTGTTAATTTTGAAGAAAGAAGAAACACAAAAGAATAGAGCATAATAGTACATAAGTTATCTAATACAGTACATTTGGCTCCATCTGTACAAATAGTTTAAAGAACATTTACGGTCTTAAGAAATCGACAAATGACGTAGTATCTGAAGCATTCAAATATCAAGCCACGAATATGCTTCGCCAGTTATTTGAGTTCAGTCAACCCATTACCCCAACATTACCGATCACATAGTTTTTTTATTGCTCAATTTCATGAGTGTAACAAACGTGTAATTTTTTTGTTATGGGCTGATGAAAGGTCCTACTTGAATTTCTGTGCTGTAAAGTGTAGTTCTGAGGTCATGTTTCAAAATTGGGTTCAATGCAATGCGGGCTGTGAAAGTAATCAGCAAGGATTCGTAGATGAAACCTTTTTCTCCTTCTCTACTGTTCCAAGTTCCAGTGAGCTAGGTGTTCTGCAACAAATTGTGGACTTGGAAACGGAACCTGTTTGCTTTGTGTGTGGTTTTAAGGTTTCAAGGGTTGTACAAACGTCACCCACTCACGTATTGCGTAATTTGTCCATCCCTGTAACACGCATGCATTTTTTATTCGGGTTGGTAAGAACCAGTGATGATGAGGGAGAAAGAGGGGGGGGGGCAAATTGCTTTGGCCTTTCGCATTGGATGTTGAAGGAGAGGTAAGAGTGAGGGGGAGGCAGGGAATGGATCGCGAATGCGTGCGCCACACTGCGGCGCTGTCGCAAGTTCCACAGAGGCTCAGTGTGCTGTCGCCAACCCTGCCGCACCATTTCCCTCCTCGCCCCCCCCCCCTCTTCAACAACAGCACTCCGCCTCCCTCTCCTCTCCCGTCCCCTCCCCTCCCCTTGCCATCTGTGCCCCGCCTCGCACGCTCACGTGTGCATTTCCGTAAGCTCTGGGGCAGCTGCGTGAATGATCGACGACTGTACCCCTGTTATGTCCTGGTTATGTCTCTGTGATTGATCCAGTACTCTCTCCTCGGGGTGGTCACCGGAAGCTTTGGGGCGATGGGAACCGACAAGCGACGGGCGGGAACGCCTTCTTGGTCGGTTAAGGTCTTGCTTATATACAAACATGCGCCAAGCGTTGTAATAAAGAAATTTTGGAAATATGGCGCCAAGAATGATACTAGTGATCAAAAAAATATATTCTGTTAAGAATCAAAATATCGATTTTTACGTAAGGTGTGATTTTAATGGTGTGAAGTAGTAAGCTTGCGATAAAAGCCAACGTACCCGCAGTGAAATTGAAGGCATAATTGATGCAAAACAACCCGTTAACCGAATAAATGTAATGTCATTATGAGAAAATAAACATGTTTTTTGTTGTTGTACACTTGTTCTTGATTTTGCCAGGAGACCTCGATTTGTATGATAGGGCAACAATGTAGACTTGTTACTATTTTATTGTGGATATGAATGGTTGCTTCAGAAAACATTACATTGTACTTGCAACATGATTTGTTTTCAATGAAGAACCAAGCTTTTGTGAACAAAGTTGAGTGTAACTGCAGTTAAGCTTGGAGAAGCTATTGGCTTCTGATTGGAAGTTTGAAGATACTTACTGCAAGAATTTCTTTTAATTCAGTCTTAATTTGTTTAGCAGTTCAACGGACCTGTGAAATATCAATATAAAAATACTGTAGTGAGTAGAATTAGAATATATTGCCTCGAGCCATATTGTATTTTAGGAAAGTAAATTTTATTATGTGTTCAAATTACTAGTGAGTACTTATGCCATTATGTAAGGATTTTTCAATTAAATTTTCTTCAAAATGTCTAGTTTCTGATTTAATTTTTGGGGAGAAATTAACAGAGGGAAGTGGTAAAAGTATTGTTACTGAGCTTCTACATCATGTAGCAATAAAGCTAGATTAAATAATCAGAACATTAATAAGAGGTGCAAGAGTAGTTTCTATCTTTTAAATTACCCATGCTTTTGTTTATTATGTTGTATTTTAATAATTTTATTATTACCCTGTTTATTGCACGTTTCTTTTGTGTTTTAACCACACATTTCACATTTCATGTGAAATAATTATCCCTGGAGACCTTTTCGGATGTGCTATACATTTTTTCCCCTTTCTTTGTCTTAAACCCTGAATTAAGTTCACTACAAGTTGTTTTAATTCTATTAGGTATAATTTTGAGTTGGTCTGTTCTGCACAATATCAGCTCTGCACATAAGTGAAGAGTTCGCTGTAGAAAATAGTATGAGATCTGCATGTGTGCCCTAACATTAAATTAAAGCAAAATAAAATCTTATTTACTTAAATTAATGAAATGACTCTGGTGGCAACTCTTTTAATTTGCATCTTCCGTAAGAGTGTGCAATTGCATACTTTCACATTAAAATCAGCAGTGTACTGCCTTATTCTCAAAGCTTTTTTGCGTGACACAAACATTTGTATTTGCAGACATGGAAGGCAGTCACCATAATTCGGAGAAGGAGGAAGGGGAGTTGTCATCAGATGATGACTACCAGACCAAATTATCTGAGATGCAGACTTACATCCCATTTCTACAGCAAATGATTCAACGTCTAGAACAGTCAAATGACAAAAGTCGTGAGGCTCAACTTAGTAAAATGAAGAGTCTTTATGGCATCCTCAGCAATACAAAAAAAAAGTAAGTTTTAGTGCATGAAAGTAACTCTTCTTTGTCAGGGTCTAGGTGATGGCTCAGTAGGTCTTGTGGGTTGACTGCAGTGATTTCGTGCGCTTATTCGTAGCAAAAGTTATTTTTATAAATAAACTATATTTTGGTGTAAATAAACATTATCTGGAATCCGATGATACTTTTATATATCAGAGAAAACTGTGGATGCATTTGTGGTATGTGCTTGGGGATGTGGGTGTGGCCTAAGGTCATGATTATGGTTATGAAGGGGGGAATACATTATATAGAAGTACAGAAGTTGGTTGTTTTCCAGGTTGAAGGTGGAAACTTTAAAGAAGTGTGAAGATGTTTTGAGCAATTTAAGAAACAAAGTTGAAAAGGTAATTTTTATCAACTTTTTTTTCTTTTCTTCCTAGATTTTTTTCTATTTGTTTCAAAACTTGTGTTTGACTTTAATTTCATTTGGGTATTATTTTTGTCAATAGTAATTAGGTTTGATGTTTTTGTTCTGTATAGTTAAATTTCTTGTAGGTTATTTCTTGCACTTATTGTGAAATTCACTACTGAACTTTCAGTTATTCTGTTGTATGTAACAAAAAGTTCAAATTAAATCCAGGAAATTTGTATACATAGGTTTTGAAATTTTATTTGTCATAAAGGAATCTTTATCAGCCATCAGAAACGGGCCACAAGCTTTTCTTTACTAAATGATGAATAGGGCTAAGATTCGTATGCATTATATATTTTTTTTCTGTTAACCAAAGCATCCTATTTTGACAAATTGTACATATTATGATGTAGAATCCAATTTAAACTGTTTCAATTTTGCATATTTCTGCATATACCATCGTACGTATTTTCACTGATTTGGACTTTACTTACATGTTTTTCTGCACATTAGCCTTTTTTTTTTTTTTTGCTGAAAATCCCCAGAAAGCTTACATTAACTTATCAGTCGGTGACATTTCAGAACTCCACATGTTGAAAGGAAGTAATCTCTCAGGAAGTTATATCATACCTATTCCTGATGAAATAAATATTCCTAATTTTGGCTTCACAAGTGTAATACATCAATCAGTCTTTACTAATTTTGAATGAGAGAATGAATATAAATGTAACATTTTCTTCAAACTCTGGCATTAAATGGATCGAAGTTCACATCGAAACTAATTTTGTATGGTGGGCAGTACTGATCCATATTACTCCTAGTTTCGGGGGGGGGTTGTTGTTATTGTTTTGTTTTTTATAGACATTGTCATTTGCTTGTGTACTTTAAAGTATGTGAAATGTAGTGATAGTTACCAAATTATTATAGAATTAAATAATTGATATTGCAGTATGTGTGTTAAAAAAGAGAAAATTTATTGTTCCTTTATTGTTGAAATATGCCAGTTATTGTTTTATATCTTTAAAAAAGTTAAAATTAAATGCAAGAAAATTTGCACTCCCATAAATATTTTAGATAATTTTGTTTAAACAATTTCCATTATGCTCCTGTGTATTCCATTAGAGCACAAGTCATAAAGAAGGAAACAAAATGAAAAAGAAGATTCATAGAGAATTATCACATTCAGTAAAGAATGCTGTGATATCTGATTCAAGTAACTCCAGCCCAAGTGATCAAATGACATCTCGCTTTAAGCGTGCTAGTGAAAGTGATGATTCCAGAGTTGGAGAGAAAACATCAGATCAGTGAGTAAAAAACGTTTTAGTGAAGTTTGGTATCCTCTTGTTTTAATGTTTTCAAACATATTTAAATTTTATGGAATTATTTCATCAATATTTCTATTTTGAATTTCTAGTGAAGCAGTTGTTAGTTCAACTACCCAGTCTTGTGATTCAGAAAATCCTGTGACCGATGTAGTTAGAGCTTTGAAACTTGCTGCAGCTCGTAACAATCTTCGCAATAAATTGGAAAATGTGAAGACTGCTATTCATTCTCCTGGTCACAGTGACGACTCTAAAGGAAATGTAAATTATCAATTTTTTTATCCTTAGTTTTCTTTAACAATTTAACATGAAAAATATTTAAAAAAATATTGTAATGTTTTTGTGTAGGTCTCCAGCAGTAGTCCTTCTCATTTGGTTTCATCATCTTCACCCCCCAAACCGACTTATCACGAAAGGGGAGAATATCATACTAAAGAGGGATTGGAACAAAGTAGGGAAAGATTGAAAAAGTTAATGGGGCATCATCTCACTGCCACACCTTCACCTCCATATCAGTCACCCGGTGAAACACACAATAGATCTTATGAGAGGAGTAATGTTGATGCTGTATCTCCTAAAACAGAATGGTTATATACCCAAGACAATTCTTGGGAAAAATATTCTGGTGCCCAATCTGTAGGAAGTGACAGTTGTGACGGTGAACTGTTTACTAGGAGAAATGGTTGGAATACAGAAAAACATAGGAATATTGTTCCAAGTTCAAGTTTTAATGCCTTCCAGGATGAGAATAGTTCCAAAACTGAGAATAAGGTGCGAACTTTTGAAAAATCGCCAAAGAATGAAGTAAATCTCAAATCTCCAAAACCTGTGAAGTCACACTTACCTTCTTCACCTCCACCACCTTCGAAAGTATTTTCCCCTGAGCGTGGTGATGACAGTGATAAAAGTGATGGTGGAAGTGGATCAAGAAGCATAAGGGCAAAATTAGAGCAAGAAATCCACAAGGTTCACCGAGTAGGCGTCAGTACAGGTGGTGCTTTACGTAGTTTAGTGGTTAAAGATGATAGAAATAGACCATCGAGTAAAGGAAAGTCAGAGAGTGAATCTCCCAGATGTGTGAAGTCTGTTGAGAGTTTTGAAAAACTTAGTCTAGATAACGACAGGGAACGATTGAATAAAATTGCTGAAAAACCTGTTGATCCCCGGCGGCAACATAATACTGATCGATCGCCTCCTTTAAAAAGCAGTACTAGTAATGTTAAAAGTTGTACAGATACTGTACAGTCAAAGAGAAAACCTTCCACCAAATTAGTAACTTGTGACAATGCTGGTAGAAGCAAGGAGGGAAAAGAAGGTGCTGAGATGTTTTCTGGTATGAGTCATGAGGAGCTCCAAAGAATAGTCTCAGAGAACCTTCGTAATCTTCCATCACCTCCTCCAATCACAAAAGAGATACTTGAAACTGTAAAGATATCTCCAAAAGGCATTCCTAATCCACTCCCTTCTTGGCCAATACTTAATCTACCACCTAAGATTCCATCCACTCCAGCATCACCTGATGAAGCGTTTCATCAAACCCCTTACACCCATCCAGATGCCTGCTTTGGAACTTCACAATCTTTTGAAACGGGTCGACAAGCCCTTCTCGAAGATCCAAATCACTGTGTGGAAAGTCTACCGGTTGTGGATGATCCACGAATGAATCTTGCACACTGTAATGCAGAGCACTCGATGCATAATGTATATGCATCACAGTGTGAAGATAGGCAAAGTGGAATAATTATTCACGAGTATGATTCTAGAACAAGTTTTACAAACTCACAAAGTTTGGAAAGCATGAGGAGGACTAGTTCCCAGCATCATTTAGGAGAAGACCCACGATCTGCTACTCAAAGTCATTTATTGGAAACTGCTAGAGATAGAAGTAATGAAAATCCTAGATATAAAACACCATTATTAGAGGATCCTCGACAAGTTCATAATCACGGCATAGATGATTCGAGAAGGCACATAGCTCATTCTTTCAGAGATGATGGAAGAAGAGATCATAGAAAAATTGATGATTCCAGGATTGGCGGAGAAAGACGCAGAGGATTACTTCCTACACCACCAGGGTATGAAAAATGTAATTATAGAGGACCATCATCAAATTCAAGAAGCCATGTCCAAGACATATCTACTAGATTTGATCAGAGACCTCAGTTAAATGAAAACAGATGTAATCCATTGTTGATGTCTCCTGAACAACAAAATTGGGATGCAACACATTGGGTTAATCCTGCAGCATATCCACAAACTCAGAATGTTGATAGGTATCAGCAACAATTGTATCATTCTAGAGATGGTAGAGGGCAACCGATGGCTGTGACACAAGATGAACAGTTTTCTCCCACTGGCCATTCTCAAGGTTATCAGTGGAACTCTGGCAATAGTCTTAATACACAACAGGCAGTGCATGGCAATTTTATGTCTGGTTATCAAGTTCAGCCTAGAATTGATCATGTTCCAGATTATCAATCAAAGTCACGAATTCAACATGCTGATCCTAGATTACACAAAGGGGAACGTTCTGAAGCTTCTCCAGACATGCGAACTGGAGATCCTCGCTTACCTCATTCAGATCCTAGACATTCCACTTCGTTTTCAGGTTCCAGGCAACCATTGCTTCCAGGGATTGCAAGATTAGCATCAGTATCAGAAAGAGATCCTCGGAGGCGTAGTGTGGATGAAGCTGATGTGTCCAGAAAACATGTAGAAGACCAAGATGATAAGAAAAAACGACAATCAGAATGGCGTGCAAGTAGTATGGCCAGCAGATTTGAAATGTTTAAGAAATCTTTAAGTGAGAAGGAAAGGAAGAGAACTAGTAGTGCAGAACAAAATAGAAGTAGAGAAGATAACACTAAAAATCTTCCTAAGAAAGAATCCACTGCTATTTCTTCTCCTCTTGACTGTTTATACGGTACAACTGCAGTAGCCAAGACTGGCAAAGGGTATGGATTTCAGAATTTTCGTATACCAAAAATTAAGAGAGATCTCCCTTCCAGGCCAAGACCACCTACTCCTCCACGACCAGCTCCTCCCAAAGAAAACTTTGAAGTTACAAAGAAAGAAAATGATGCTGGTGTTGTACAGGCTCATGTAGACAATGATGAGAACAAAGATAAGGATACTGGTTTGGTTGAACCAAAAGAAATCGAACCACAAACAAGAGAAGTAACTCAGGAGTTAATAGAAGCCTTGATTAGAAAATCTTTTGAATCAGGTGAAGGAAAGAAACTTTTTGAGCATGCAAAATTTTTCGAAACTTTAAGTGAAAGTTTAAAAAGTAAAAAAATGAGGAAAATTAAACGAATTCTAGAGTCTGATTCAGAGGATAGTGACAGTGATAGAGCTAGCAAAGAACAAACGAAGGAAATAAAAGAAAAACAAAGATCAGATGATGAGAAATTGATGAAAACAAAGGAAATTATTAAATCAGATTCTGATGATGAACCTTTAGCTGAAAAATTGGTAGTTAAAACAAAGAATGATAGCAGTTGTGAGAAAATTGAATCTGTCAGTGATAAACTAGAAGATACTAACATTGAAACTGAAAGTAAGGAGAGTTCTAAGGAATTGGAAGAAACTGTATCTGAGAAGGTAGCTAAAGATGTTGATAGCTGTGAGAATGAAGTGACTAAACCTGTGAAAAAAACAGCAGCAAAACGTCGTAATTCCTTAGAACTATTGCAACAAGATGTCAGGGACATGTTTATTCGGGAAGGTGTGGTCACTGCTACAGGGTACCGAATGTGTAGACTTTTGAAAGAGGTTCAGTGTGGAGCATCATTAGAAGAGATCTCAAAGAATGAAGCCCAACGAATGGAAAATGAGGCAGATGGAGAATCTGATTCTTCATCGGTATTAGGTAAGAAAGAGAAAAAGAATGAAGGAAATATGAAGTCTAAAAAGAAGTTCGTTAGTGGTTCCAAACTAAACAAAAAGATGTCAAAAAGCAATGTTGAGGTGCTTTCTGATAGTGATGCTCCAGTTCCTGCGGGTTCTAAAAAGAGGACTAAAAGAAATAGACAACTCATTGAAGATTCAGACAGTGATTCTTCAGTGAGTACTTTGAGTAGAACAAGCAAATCAAAAACTTCTGGAATCCGTTTAGAATCCGATAGAGAAATTGTTAGAAGACGACGTGTTCCTCGAATTATTTTGGAAAAAACTGACATTTCCAAATATCGTTCAAATTTGACTAGGAGTCACATTGATAGTGAAGAAGAGAGTGAAGATGAAATCTTCATTGAAACCGAAACAAAGAAGAAAAGTGTTCTGAAGCGAAGTTATTCTAAGAAAAAGGAAAGTAAGAAGACCGGAAAGAAACTGTTGGAAGAGGATGATGAATTCTTTAATAGGGAGCCATACATGTTCAAAAGAAAAAAGGAAAAGAAGGCTCAGCCATTTTTGAACAAGAAAATTGATGATTACATTCCTAGACTTCACAAGGCTGAAATTCCTAACATATCAATCATTGAACTATTTTTTATTGATAAAAAACCTGTTACTGACACTTCTTTGACATCAGAAAATGCAGATGCAGTAGAGAAAAATCCTGCTTCTCTGGCAGATGTTGCATCAGATTTGAATTCTGATGTTACTGCTAATGATGCTGATGATGAGGATGATGATGAAAGAAAAGATTCTGCATCATTGCTGGATCGTTTACATAGAGAAAGAAAGGTATGTCTTGATGACACCAATAGGAATACTGATATAGACGAACATAATTCAGCTGTTCCAGTATTTGAAACCAATCCTGAAATTGAATTGATAACTACAGATGATCAAAGAGATGAAAATATCTCTTTAAATACACATTCACCGAAGTCATCATTAAAATTAAGTCTGGTGAAGAAGAAAAGTGTAGGCCTGAGAAAAAAGAAGAGTTCAAAATGGCAATTTGGTATCATAAAGAAGAAATCAACTGTACATAAAACAAAATCGGAAGTGGAAATTGGAGAAGTAAAAGAAGTTTATCAGTTGACTGAAGTAGGATCTACTGACAATTGTTCTGCAAATGCTGATGATGTCAATGATGAAAAAAACTCAAGTGATGTAGGCGTTGTTCAAAGCACAATGGATGTTACAGTTCAATATGAAGTTGATTCTTTTGGAGAAAATTCTAGCTACAAGGAAGTAGAGAATACTGCAAGACTTGAGAAAGAAAAAAATAACAGAGAACCTACTGAATCTGTGAATTTTACCAATATTGACTACGCATTTCATTGTGAAGCCAAACAAACTGCTTGCTTACTGTGTTCGTATGAAGGAAAATCTATAGTCCAGCATTACAAGCAAATTCATCCTGATAGTGAAGTTCTCATTTCAAGATTACCTATTGATGAAGCCTGCAGGGCTACTACAGAGGCAGAAGAAAAAGGTTTCAATGAAAGCTCTTTTAAAGGAGAAATATTAGGCAGTCGTAAAGGCCAAGGTTCTTTTTTATGTAGATTTTGTAATTATAAAACTTCAATTCCTGTTAATTTGTATGAACATACAAGTTCTCACACTGGTGAGTATCGATACCAGTGTTGTAAATGCCCGTATATGTCTGCTTCTAGAACAACATTTAAGGGACATTTTTATAGTCATCATCCTAAAGTTAAATTGAAACAAGGATTAAATTTGAAGGTACTCACTGCAGGGCCATCTAATAATGCTAAATATATTTTTGGCTATTTGTGTTCCAAATGTAATTTTGTACAATTACAGCACGAAAACCTACAGAAACACATATCTTTGAGGCATGCAAATGATCAGGAAGTGAAATCAATTCGTATTAATATGTCAAAAGCTATTCCAATGGAATGTGCTGAGGCATCTGATGAAGCAGATAGTTGTATTGATAATTCAGAGATTGTTACAGATGAAGATACTGGTGGTGAAATGCACATGGTTAAAGACAATATAGACTCTTCTAATTCAATAAATGTTGAAGAAAATTCTGAAGTAAAAGATGACATGATATGTTGTGTAAAAGAAGAGCCTGTTAGTGAAAAAAAACCAAATCCTTTAGAAGCATTTGTTCCCATTTCTTTGGAAGTTGATAATGATGAGTGCATTATTCTAGAAGAAAGAGTGAAACGTACACGTGATGTTATGAAGGATGCAAATTTGAAGGATGTGTTGAAAAATTTAAAAGATGTCTCTGGAGCAGATGATGACATTATAATTATACTAGAAAGCAAATTACAGAATATAAAACAGGAAATGGACACAGAAATGGAGATAGTGTGTGAGAATGTTTCTAAATCTTTGGACTCTATTAATAATATCCAAGATTTAGGTGCTGTAGTGAAGGAGGCAGCTATTAAGGAGCCCAAAACAGAAAATCAGAATTCAGAAGAGTTGAAGAATCAACCTAATACTACAATGGAAAGTTCAAATGACGATCCTTGTGAGAAAGGCGCACAACTGTTGTCAACAGTTGAGTATGTTAAGGAAAATACATGCCTGTCATCTGATGTGGGATTACCTGCTCCAGAAGTGCAAGATTTAGAAAATAAAATCAAACCTGGTTTGAAGAAAACCCCAGATATTACAGCTGAACCAAGTAAGACACGTTCTTTGACTTGTAAACCAAGTAGCGGAGATGAAGCGAATGAACGTAGGATAACACGTTCTTTAAGTAGGACTGATGATGATGGGAGATCTGTCATGTCAGATGATTCAGGTGTTGATGCATCTAATTATGAAGTAATAGAAATCACAGATGAGTCGGATGTGGGAGAGGAAGAAATGGACGTGGAAACTGTAATAACGAGTGCAAAGTCTTTGCAGAATGATGCTGATGAAGGTGTTTCTTTGCCCAGTGGAACTCTGATTGAAAGATTAGCAAAGCACATAATTTTCAAAGATAATGTAAAGAGTTTTGAAGGAGATAATAGTGTTCAACAAGAAGAGAGAAAATCGAAAAATGATTCTCTGAAACCACCACCATTGGCTGCATCTTTGGATAAACAGTGTTTGGAAGAAAAGAAATCTGTGACGAAGCAATCGCCAGTGGTTAGTGTTGCTTCTCTAGAAGCCAGACGATGTTCGAATGAATTAGTACTTTTTTCATGTCTGGTGCCATGTTGTGTATTTACTACAGAAGATGCAACTTCAATGGAGAAACACCTTGCAAGGAGCCATAAACCTAATTGGTGGGATGGAGTCTGTAGTACGTGTGACAAAAGAGTGTATGGTGATGGTTCTTTGAAGGGATCACCTGTGGAACACAAGTATCCATTGAGTTTTGCGTTGGATCACTTGCGAACAGTGCATTTGGATAATTTGTCAATACAAAAGGACTTGCAAGCATCAGAATGTGCATTGCCATCTATTGTTGAATGTAGTTCTTTGCCATCAATTAATACTGTATGGACATCAGAACTTCCCATTGAACTGCAAGATGTGGCAGATGGAGACAAAACATTGGAAAGCAGTGAAGAAGCAACTCCTCAGGCAGAGCCTAGAAAGACTGACCTTAGTGAAACAAAAGCTCCATTTCCGTACATACGCACCAGGCGTCTAAGTGGTGATAAACTCTCTGCTCCACCTACTTCTGAGAGTAAAGCATTAACTCCTTTGGACACTTCAAGTGACACTTGTAAGTATGATCCTCTTAATAATTAGTAATTCAAGTATTATATTGGAAAATTAAGAATATTAATTAATTCATGAGCTAATACTTTCAATTGTTGCTGTAGATGTTGAAAATGATGGTAATGTGCCACCAGATGAAGGTGATGGTGGTGACGATGATGAATTACCTTTCCTGAAAATTGAAAGTGTGGTTAGCTTGCATCCAAGTGCTGGTTCAAACGTAAGTGTATATTGTATCTCTTCCTAAAGGCGGATCCACACATTCAGCATTTGCCGAGTAGCGAGCTACTGCTCGCCTAATTCTGAACAGCTAATGTGTTAATGAATGTTCGCTCCCTTTGATGCATCCTAAAGACCAACACATGGTGGGTAGGGTGAGTACCAAACGTTCATCACTCGGCAAATAGCAAACAACTCTTCCTCAGGATTCAGCGAGCATTGCTTGCTACTCGTCAAAAACGAATGTGTGGAGCCACCTTAAGATTATAGATGAAAAATTAGAATGTTATAATTTTTATTTTAACCCTTGTAATAATAATAGTAATTATAATAATTATTATAATAATAACAATGATTTTAAATGGTTTTTAAGTTAAAGAAATCAGTACAGTGATATGGTGTTAGCAATGTTTTCAATGTACCAGAAATTTTGAAAGTGGCAAAACATTTTTTTATTTTTTATTTATTATTATCCAACAGGCATATAATGCCTAAATACATTTCATATATACATAGGTTTACACACTCTTGAAGATTACAAAATATTCGTTTGTCATAAAATAAGTATTGTCAATTGTTGCATATCTATCCAGTGAAATCTAATATGAGTTGTTTGATCATTTTAGCTATTGACGTATTTCGAGTCAAATCAATTTCATTCATATATGTGTTGGTGATTCTGGCTAAAAGTGGTATAGCAGAATTACAGAAATAGTTTTACAGTCTAATTCTCTCAGTAGAGTAGATCTTCGCATTGTGTATGGATAGTCATACAATTGATAAATATTTCGAAGTTTTAAAAACTAAATTGCCCTTATAAGATATCAACACTAAAATTAATGCAAATCTAATCTAATATCTCCAGTCTATAAAATACAAAGAAACCTGGAGGTAACAGGATAACACAAAAATACAAAGAATAAAGATGTGGTAGCTCTGGAGAATATTTTTTCTGGCTCTGGGTTGTAATAAAATGGACTGCAAAAACTATGAATACTGTAAACCCTCTTTATCACCCTCATCTACCCCAAGTAAGTGGAAACAGTGTTCATTGAAAACTGCAGTGCTGAACTGGAAAACGTGAATTGTGGTACATATTGCCAGCATATTCTTGGATCAGGCTAATGGGCAGCTCTAATTGCCCAATAGTGGCATTGATGCCTATCTGTCAGATACTCTTAATGAACGGAAGGGTTTTAACCCAACCCGCGATATTCAAAGGGACAGATGATTGGAATGCATTGCACTGCGGGAATAGTAATTACTTTTTTCTACTTTTTTAATTTTGTTAGGTTTGGAGCTCATTCATTATTCTTTGTAAGTGATCGATTCACAACTAATTATATGTATTTAACACATAACTTTTGACCAACATTTTTTTCTTACAAAAATAATTATCATAACTCCTGATATATTATGAATAGGTGGAAGACCTATTAGGGTAATTCACATTACAGTGAAACCAGATCTGACACTTTTTTGATTTTACATTTATTAGTACAATGTTTCATAAAACTAAGTGTTTTGCCTCTTCAGGTACTATCACTGGTTATGAGAATTTTTTAAAAAATGTCTATAAAAAATTGTAAATGCAAGAACAATACATAATAGTTCGATTTGATACTAATATTGAAAAGTATCAATGTATCAAATATCAAAATTTTAATTTAAAAGTTTCAGTTGCAAAGTATTTAATATTATTGAGAGCATTTAAAGATTAATTTAAATGTGTGGGGGTATTAATTGGAGACTAATATAGATTTGAATAACAGACAATGGTAACTTACTTCGTCAGATATCAACTTTATCAAACCTGGCTTCATTGTAATAATGAACATAAAAATTACATCCGTATGCACGTGCACACTCCTCACCCATATGCCTTTTGCATGAAATAACTTTTATTTTGATTGCTGGTTATATGACCTATTGTCCTTCCTTTGTCAGACAACACTTGGAAAAACTTACACAAACCTATATTTACTTCCAGCTTCCAAACCACTACCAATATACTACTTTCGTCAGCTTGGCATGGATGCCAGTAATATTATCCTTCTTCATTAGTGATGTGCAAGACTAATCTGAGAACTAGCGAACAATTATTTTTACAATTGACTTAAAAAATTATATTTTATAATTATTATACATTGCAATTTGCACAAAAGAAAAATAGAAACCTTAATTCAATTCATAAAAACACTGATTGAAAACATTAATCAAAATGAGAGTAGTTTGAAAAATGTAAATAGGATGTTACCATACCTGTATATCGATATCTTGTACAAAAGACAACTGTTTTGAGGTTCTCACTGATTTTGTCTTTCTATTGCTTCTCTCAAGCAACTTCTTAAAAAGCATTCTCTCTTGAATGCAAAAACTTCTGTTTCAACTATGTGAATATGTTTGTCATCATGTCCCAAGTAAATTCTAAATTCTTCAAATTGTTTTTTTAATGATGACTTGGAACCAGAAAAATGTAGTGTCGTCTCCTTGAATGGTTACTGATCCCCCTGAAATAATCAGTTTCTCTACATTAGGATACAGTTATGAATATTTTAAACTGGCTCAGAACTATAATTTGAATACTTCCATTTACAAAAATAAATTAATAAGTATAGGAAACCTTTATGGAAATAATTATATATTTTATTGTCAATGACATCCTTTGTAAAATTATCAATGTCAGTTACTCAGCATTTTCGTTTTCTAGTCTTTTATTGGGCTTATCAACTGATCCTGCTGTTTGTGAAGAACTTAGTTGATTGATTCAACACAAATCTGAAAATACATATCTATTTGATGATGAAAATATATGATTGTACAATGTTTAACCATATATTCATAAAATGTTAAACAGTTGTATTCAATATTTATTGTTAATTTAATTTATATTTTTAAAAAAATTTTAACAATTAAATATAATTATAAAATGTAATTCTTATGCACTTAAAAAATACTTCACTTAACTGCAAATACTTTGCGATTCTCAATATCAAATATGACTTGGTTTCATATGTTTTATGCTCTTCTGCTTCATTTTGTTAACTAATATAAAAGTTAATGATTGAGTTTTGCAATGAACTGTGAAATGTTGTAATGTTATAAATCAGTCCAGTGCAAGTTCATGAACTTGGCCATAGCTATTTGATTGCATGAAGTACTAGTATCTGTTTATTAGTACAACTTTTAACAACCATGAACTATTAATTAAATAACAATTTTACAAAATCTTTAAATAGTTAATTAAAATTAATAATTAAAATATGATGCAAATATAATACAAATAATTAATACAACTATATCTTCAAAAAATTTTAAATAACAATAGATATTTTCTTTAATTACTAATAATACAATTAGTAATAAAAATTAACCAATATGTATTAATTAAATGAAAACTGAAAGTAGCAAATATCAACTATTAATTGTCAATTCTTCCAAGATAACTAAATAAAGGTTCTTACAAATGATGTAAGATAATCCCATTAATTAATAACTACTTAGTTTAAGCCAAAAATAACTGATAACAATTATCTAAATAATGCTGAAAATAACCAATAATTTCATAAACTATTTAAAAATTTAACTTATAGCATATACACAAAATATTACTGAACAAATCCAAGCCAAAATCACACAAATTAGAAAACTTGGTCACAATAGTCACAATGTGTTTGTTTAAAAAAAATTTCGTTGATGCAGAAAAGGTTGGTAGCAACAAGGCTTACTAAAACCTTTCATTATTTAATAAATGGGCCAATGAGAAACAAATTATTCTTAAAATAAAATCATTAACGGTATGTTTTGTTTCTGAATGAAATCACCCGTAGGCACTTAAACAAGTGTAGGTCATAATCTAGAAAACGGGGAGAAAAAAGATTCCCAATAAATAAAATCGATGAAAAGAAAAGATCTTATGGCCTCTGAACTGAACCATAATGTTATTTTCAAGATTTGTTGTAAGGAACTGGGATGTTTCTTCTCTTAAACATGTACCACCATATGTGCTTTAAAGGAGAGAATCAAAGAGCATAAAAAAAAAAAAAATCAAAAAAAAATCAGGTTAGCAATAGACCAAGATAATGCCGTTACTAAACACAGAATTGGTTGCTTAGGCTTCCGCAGCCAGAGTTTGTGTTATCAAGGCTATCTGGGATGAGTCGCGTCACTGACATGGAGGCTAACGATTCGGCGAGCATATTGTGGCCTTTCTCAGAGTGTACTGACTGGTACACTCTGAGGAAGGCCACAATATGCTGGCTGAAATGTCAGTTACATGGCTTGTCCCGGATAGCCTAGATAACATACACAGAATTGTCTACAACAAGTGTAAGGACTGGAATAATGTCCAAATCCTTGAAGTAGAGAACAATTATCAAAAAAGAATATTTTCAGAAATGCTACATGTATTTCCAACTAAAATATTTTAAATATTCAGGAGTCTAATAACCTTACTTGGTTAATGCAGGAATTCAGAATCTTTGAATTGTTAAATGTAAACATTCTTTGGTTATTGAAGGTATTTTTTCGTGGACTTGGGCCATATCGTTAGTCATTCCATCTATGGATGTAAGATCTTTGATACTTATTTTGGGATGACATTCACTGGTGACATTTGTCTAATCAACTAGTCACATTATCTGGAATGATGACCTGAAGTACTACATTAATATCTTTTGACTAAAAATTATTATCTTATGTGCTTATTATGTGTCAAGTTGAAATGAATTTGTCATGTTACATTTGTTAATGTCTTGTATTATATCATGTTGTTTTCTGTTATACTCTTGCCTGTCTGGGTTTTGTGATAACTTCAAAAGTACTGTACATGTTCCAATTCTTTGTTGTGCCATGACTGAGGGAATCTTTTATACTTATCAATTCGCAAATTTTTATTTTTTCTTTCCGCAGTGTGCATACCATTTCCCACCCTCTTTTTTTTTTTTTTCTTTTCTTCTCTCTTTCTCCCTTTGTAAATTATGACCTACACTCCTTTAAGTGTTTGACATGTGTGTGAAGATTACCCTAAAGGATTGAGACATTGTACCTTTTTACTGATTATTCCAACTTCATGCATTACTTTAAAAAAAATTATATTTTTTAATATGGCAGTTAAATATTTCTTGTTTCTAGCTTGTCCTTTCACATTTGCATAAATGTGCAAATGTCAAATAAAAACAACTAAGTTTAAGCATATTATTATAACTTCCAAGTATATTGCTAATCATGTTCTATTTTACACGATTAACAATAATGTGTTTTCAATTCCTCTGTTCGATAATCAAAGTGCCTTGCTGTAATAACTATATTTGATTAAAATTTCCAATTTTTGACCTGTGGTAATGTCTTAAGGTAACAGCAATACTTCTAATCATGCAGTTTAGGATTGTTACTCAGGAATATGAGTAATTTAATGTTATTTGAACTGATAATTTAAAAATAAGTAATGCTAAGGTTATGTCCAAGAGAAAAGTGGTAATTGGAAATGTATTAACAAGATTTCACTGTTTTAAAAATTTGTTTTGTGAACATTAATTAAACCATTGAAATGTTTGAAAACATCAGGTTTTGAATCTTGATGTGAAGTTAACCTAATTCTTTAGTATTTATTAAATTTTTCCTGTGTTATTGTATATTAATCAAAATTCAGATGCAATTAATGTAGATAAAATTGATGAAACTAGGAAAGTCAAATTAGAAAACATTAAATAAAATATTAAAACATTAGAATATTTTAAAAAAACGCAGCTCCACACATTTGCTATTCAGTGAGTAGCAACAGCTCGCCGAATCCAAGTAGTGTGGATGAGTTCCTTGCCATTTCTACGTGATCAATAATTGGTGCTGGCCCTAATCACTGCGTGTCAGTCTTTTGAGCACATCAAAGGAAGCAAACATTAGAATTTGCCAAACAGCATTAAATTAAAAAAACAAACAATGAAACAACACAATATTGATTAACACAGTAGTATTTTCACTAATAATGTTTTATTATAGATTAAATATAGACAGATAGTATTTATGAATTATTATAATATTCTTTGAAATATAATTTGAATAACTGTCCCATTGATATTTCTAAAGTTAAGTGAAAATTGCTTCTTGCCATTGAACTGTATATAATGTGGCAGTCTTCCTAATATATAAAATAAAAATTAAAAAAAAAATTAAAAAAAAAAAAAAATTAAAAAAAAAGAAAAGAAAAGAAAGTGACAGACAAGATTTCAAACCTGGATGTTGAATAAAAGTGTACATGAAATTGTTTTGAGGAACTAATATTGAGGAATAATTTGTATTGGCCAATGTTTATTGCCCTGGTAACTCATCAAGAAGTGAAAAAATATTCATATATTATTTTTGTAGGTCAACAATGCGTTCCTTGATCCCAGTGTAACGGATTCCGAAAGCAGCCCTGTTGCGGAGACTTCAAATTCACCATTAAGCAATAACTTTGTGGATATTGGTCACTGCCCTGGTAATGTGTCTAAACAGCCAGTAGTTGCTTATGCTCCAAAATTGGTTGCAGTTCCAGGATCACCTGTGAAGAAACAGGTATTATTAGAAATGTTAATAATTTTAGCTGAGAAGTTCATGCAAGTATTGTGCCCTGAAATATGCAAACAAATGTACTATAGAAATATTGATAAAATTACAGAAATATTTAAATTTGTTGTATTTGATTACAAAAAAACATATTCTGCAATTGCTATATGGATATCTTTTTTCCCTGCCAAGAAGAAAAGGGAAGTACAAATCAAAAACTGATTATTTACTTCTGCACTTCGGTTGGTCACTCCTCTGATTTGAAGCCTTAGTACTCAAACGTGATAAACGTGTATGACATAAGATACAGTTGTGCTATTCCAAGGACGATTAAAATATTTTACTTTTTGGGGGAAAGTTACACGAAGCTTCTATGATGTATTCAACATTTCCTGAAAATTGTCTCGCGTTGCTCCTCTGAGAATTCTTTAAATTTTCAGCTAATTCTTATTATTGAGCCCCAATCAAATTGCAAATTGTCTAGAAAATTATCATGCTGATGAGAATGTTAAAACTTATTGCCTGAGCTATCGCAATTTTCTTGTTCGTTTTAATCATCATAATTATGGTGTGCAAAATGGAGATTTGCATTCCCAGGGAGTTGAATCTCCAGGGCGAATTTGTGCAGCCATGTCGATCTGGCCTCCATATAACAAAATTTCAGCAATCACTTTTCTTCTTTTCACATCATTCTCTCTTTAGCGGCACATTCAGAAATACTGGAGTGGATCGTTTGGCAAATTCAGTGAATACGAATAATAACTTCATGAATATAATGAAGTATAGATGCACATGGTATTTATCATCTTTGCAAAATATTGGTATGTTGGATTTTGAGTTGGAATAAAAACAAATCCTAATTACCTAAGCTTACTCTGTGAAAATAAGATGATTCTGAATTTTTTGAATGAGATGTTCAGGAAGAAACCTTGTTTAATATTCAGGTAAATACGGTATGTAAGGTACACTGGGGTATGTGGAACCAGCCCCGATGTTAGTGCTCATTTAATTGAACTTAACGTATAAAATACTTTGGTAGTATTCTAATAAATAATTTTAATATGTTGGTGTCCTTATCTGTTCACATTCGAGAATGTGAGTAGATTGTATATTCAGACTACTTTGCAGTAGACTGAAGAGTTATCACTATCAGCACATTGAGTTTTGATTATAAGATCCAAATTGTGCATTTCATATCACTAAGGAAAAGTTTCTGAACACATACCCACTTGTTTATTCTTGGGAAAGATTTTGCTTAATTTCCTTGTGTTCGTAATCACACTTTTTACTGATTAATGTATCCTTTTACTAACTGAAACTGCGCTTAAATTTTACACATTTTTACAAATGAAAGGACAATTTTTTTACTACAGTTGCATTGTACACAAACTTTTGAAAGTTTTGGCTTTTAAAACTATTGCTCCATCTTTGACTTTGCTGTGCAAATTATGGACAATTTTTTGATCAAGTTGACTTGTTTTGCTTGCACGTTTTCAAGTGTGAAAATTTGACATTTAGTATTTACAATAAGTCTTAAGCGTGTTGACAATTTTCAGTGTATTTCTATGCCAAAAATGATATTTAAAACATTAAATTTTTTTTATTTTTATTTATTGACAATTGTTTTTTGAGGCCAATGCGTAAGTTTGATTCAGGTCATTGATGTCGTGATGAAATAAATCTGAACTGTAAATACCACAATTGATATCCTTTAAATTGAATTACACATAGGTTTAAATTACATATTTAGTTAATTTTTTTTTGCATGTAATAAAAGCAATGTTTATTGATTCTTTGTGAAATTTACAGCTTCAATTAATTCCTGTGGCTCCAGCAACAAGAGGAACTATTGCTGTGGTTCCAAGTACACTGCCGTCTACGAACATCCCTCAGCCTCTAGTAAATCTGGCTCAACTTATTCGTCCTGGAACACGTGTAGTTGTTCCCAAAGAGAGTCCGTCTGTTGCTGCTGCTCCAGTTCAATTTGTATCTTCTAATACTAAGAAGAAAATGATATTATGTGGCAATAAAACATTGCCCAACATTCTTCCAAAGCCAACTTCAACATTCATTATTACTAGTCCTGGGAAATCAACATCCTCAGCTGTTGTTCTTCCTCCCAGCATTGTTACTTCCAGTTCTCTGGGATCTGGCATTGAACTTCCTCCTGTTTCAACATCAGTTGCATATACACCACTATCCCTTTTGAAAAAATCCTATTCTGGGGCTGTAAGTTCTCTGACACCAGACAATACAGTTGTTAGGTTTGTTGGTGATAGTTGTGCCAGAACTTCATATTTTGCTTATAAGCGTCGGAAGCAACAGAGGCCTTCACTGAAGAGTACAAGAAAAATACTTTCACATAAACTTTGCAAAGCCTTTGAACAAGCCAAGGCATCGAAAAGCACACCAGCTTACCAAAGAATGTTAATACATGATAAACTTCGTCAGCTATTCAAGTGCATGGCAAAGCATTGTACGTTCACATCAGAGTCTCCTAAGTATTTTGAAGAGCATTGCTGGAAGCATGTTTATTTATTCCAAAAATTGAAGCCTGATAATTCTGAGAGAAGTGAAGGAGGGACAGGAAATGGTAAGTTTATGGCAAGAATAAATTTAAATTTGGCATTAAAAGTGTGAATGCTGAAAGAAGTTTCGGTAATGATTTATTAAATTTAGTAATGCTCTTGTGATGTAGATTGCCCAGGACAAACATCTGAAGATTCTGATGTGGCAATAATGAGGAAAATAGAGGCTGGGGCTTGGCCGCAATGTGCATACTGCTGTACTCTTCATAGCACCCCTAAAAGTTTGAATTCACATGTGCAAGAAGAGCATGGGCAATGCCTCTATCAATGTGCTTACTGTTTTTTCAGAGCAATTGCCTATTCATATGTGGTTTTGCATCAGGTTAGTGTTTGAATTTTGAATTCATGTTTAAGGAGGATGAAATAAGGCATGTGTGAATGACAAGTTAAAGAGTGGAAGAATGTTCTGTTCAGTGTAAAGATTTATTTTGTGTATTCAGTTTTTTTGATTTATTTTTGGGGTAAATCTAATTGAAGCATTACTGAGGAGACAAGTTCTACCTTTTACCTCCAACAATTTGTAATAGCAACTTCTAATATAAATATTTTGTCATTTTGCAAGAAATTTTAGTAAAAATGTTTTGAAATTTTAGTTGGAGAGATTCATTTTGTAAATTCAGCAAAAAGTAAGGTTTAGGAATCTGGTGAAGGACTTCGGTCTAGAAAACAAAATTGCTAGAACTCTTTTTATGAAACTATTTGGATTTTGATTTGTACTTTACTGATTTACTTGATTTGTACTGGTTCATGTTTTACATGGAATGAATGAGTGATTGTAAGACTATATCGAAACATGAGAACATAATTGTGATATGTACTTTCAAGTGAGTTTTCATTAATTCAGGTGTTCGAATGAAAGTCAATTGTGTCTTCTCTTATAAGTTCAGAAGTACTTTTATTTTTGAAATTGAGGAAACAGACAAGTGATTGTTTCATGTTTATTCAATCTCTTTAATCTGATTCTATAGAATACAAATCATACGGACATGAGGATTACAGTCTTGCTTTGCCGTAAAATATCACAGATATTACCTCCAGTAAATCAGCATCCTGCTCGAAAAGAAGTTGTATTACCATATGTGTGTGTTCAAGGTATGTGTATTTTCTTTTGTTTTCACAACCTTATTTCCTTATTTATACTGATCAGGTTTAATTTAAAATCATTGTATATTCTTTTAAAGGTAATTGCGGGATGCATTTTTATAACCCTGCAGCTTTTTGGAGACATTTGGAAAATGCACATGCAAATATGACTTGCTATTTTTGTCATATGTGCGATGGTCAGTACGTCAAACCTGAAAAACTTCTTATGGTTTGTATTGGTATATTAAAATTTCTCGCTATATTGCTATTTCTGTTAATGTTATAACACTAATTGATATTAATTTTTTTTAGCATTATAAGTTGCATTGCTTTCATTATTATCAGTGCCACTTTTGCTTGCATGGGTCGGACACAAAAGAAGACATGCAACATCATTTATGTAATTTTCATCCTAATCAAAAAGCTATTGTAACAATGAGGGATAGTGATCCAAACATGGTGAGCGCTTGGCAATTCCTACATTAAAATGGTATTAGAAGCATTTTGTGCTACTTTAAAAATTTGAATCTTATATTGCATGTGGTCTTCTTTTCAGCCTGCTATGGGTTCAGAAGAGGAAAGATCTCTTGATTTTTTGAAAACCATTGATCTTGATGTTGATCACCGTGAGGAAAGTTTGCTGTTTCCTCCTGTTCCTTCAACAGAATATGCAGAGACTAGTGTTGAATTCTGGAAAAGTTACAAAGCTTTTGCTGATGAAAACCCATCCATTAACACTTCCGATAGTAGTTTGCTATTACCAACACCATTGGGAGTGAATGCAATATGTGTTCTACCTGCACCTAAAAATAGTTTCTTTGTTGCCAAAGATGATTCTCAAAGTTGCGAGTATAGTAATATGTCAGTACTTCCTGAAGAACCATGTAAAACCAGTGGAAGCATTAGTTTTGCATCTGTTGATGCATTGGAGCAAATTACCAGCACAGACTCTACAGTTATTGATACTGCTGACCAAGTTGAGAATATTGTTGGGGATTCAGATTTTGAAATTATGCCAAATAAAATGAGTGATTCTACTGATTCTGCAAAAAATGATCTTAATATTGATCCTTTAGAGTCAAATAAAGCATTGATCAACCAGTCCTCTCTGAATAAGAGTGATAATCATGAGGTAATAGTTATTGATTCATCAGATATGGATGAGGATGATGATGATAATTATTCTGAACCACCTGCTGGGGAAGGAAATAAAGTGCCTTCTACTTCTCATTCTAAAACACCAGAGATTGATGATTCTGACAGTGATGTAATATTCATTGGCAGTGATGAAGAAGTTGTCCCTCCCAAGAGAAAAAAAATTGACTTTGGAATTCCATTGTCAGAATCTGATCCAAATTATGAGCCAGTTGTAACTCTAATGCATAGAAATCCAGAAACAAAAGCCCGAATTGAATCTGCTGTTGATCCTTTAGCACCAGACCCCCCAGAAGAAAAAGTACATTTGAATTCAGGGGAAGGTTCATCCAATAATATTTTAGTTTCTCTAGATAATGCATGTGGCACAGAGTTACCTACTTTTGAAAAGGATCAAGAACAGAAACAACAGCAGGATCAAGAGGTTCAGCAACAACTGTTTGAACATCAACAGCAGCACAAACAAGAGTCAGAGCTCCAGCAGCAGCAACAACAACAACAACAACAACAACCACAACAACAACCACAACCACAACAGCAGCAGCAACAACAACAACAACAACAACCACAATTAGAACAAGAGCAGCAGCAGCTGAAGAAACATAATAGCACAGAGAGATCAAAAGGAGATTCAGCCTGCAAAAATTTCATTGATCCTGATATCTTGGCCCAGAGTTTAATTACTCCTGAGGAACTAGAAAAGACTGGAGCATCTGGTGAACGTCTGTATCGATGTGGTAATATTACTTGCACCTATGCAGCAAGTACATCTAACCAGTTGCGTGATCATTTGCTTCTTTGTGACTTGTCAAGGGATTCTGCTGGTCTCACATGTGTACATTGCCAACGACCGTTTAAACAGGTAAGAACTTCACATTATATGAACTATTGTTAGTGTTGTGGAATACAAGAATGGCAATTGATTTGTTCTTGTCTTCTACAGATTGCACCATTTATGGAACATTTGAAACACCATGGGACATGTCGATACAATTGTTTTTTATGCAAATTTCGAGCTCCTCTTCCTCAACAAGTTATTAAACACCTTAAACAAAAACACCGTATTTACAATTCTATTGTTCTTCCAGTAAATCAACAAAACACCAATCCTGAATCAGATCTTTTTGTTGTTTGTTCAAAGGTATGTAATCATTTTGCAGTTAAGTTTTTGTTTTAATTCCAGTGACTGGTGTTTATAGATTATTATTGTTCCAGGACAAAACAAGACCAAAAGTAGTGCCACATTTTCGTAACAAACGTATTTTCAACCCTGATGAAGTGAATTTTTTACCAATGAAATGCATATCATACCATCCACTTACATGCAATGTTTGCAACTTCCGTTCAAAAGTTGTGAGCAATATACGTCGACATCTAAATTTCCACAATAATAAAACTATGAACCCTGATGAAATACCTATGAATGATCCTGTTAACCCTGTGCCACACTTAGAGAAAAAAGAAATGATGTTTGATAAAATGACAAATCTTGCTGCCAGTTCACATCCTCTTGGACGTATGGGAGGCAAACCAATTTCAAGTGCATGTTCAGGAGGAATTCCAGAACAAATAACTCTTCCAAAATTTGTTCCAGAACATGAACGCTATGTGTGTGGATCTCTTGGTTGTAATTATCGAACATGTGATGAAACTATGTTACGTTACCACATGCGGGCTTTGCATTGTGATGAAATATCATATCGATGCCCTCATTGTCCTGAATCTATGCAGAAAGATCTTAATGGATTGGCAATATCTATTGACCGAATGGGAGCACATTTGAAAATGCATGACAACAAATTGTACAAGTGTACTCATTGTACATACTTTCATTTTCAGAGGCACATTGTAGAACGTCATTTATCTGACAAACATCCAGAGAAAAGACCATTTGTTCAGGTTGTGAGGGAGGAAGGAGAAGTTCCAACTACATCAAAATTGGACACACCATGTACTGAAGGTGAAGGGAACTCTCAACCAAATACAGGCTTTTGGATGTGTGGTTTGTGCAAGGCACAATATGCTACACGAGCTGAAGTATATGAACACACTGCCGCTGCTCATAACATTAAAAGTCAGTACAAATGTAATGTGTGTACATTTAGATCTTCATCAAAACCCAATTGTGAGTCTCACTTCTACTCTCGTCATCCGGGTTTGGAATTAGATCTTATAACAGTTTGTCAGCGCATTGATGGTGATTCTCTTGATTCACCATCAGCCTCTCAAAGTAACAGCTCCACGACTACCACCTCTATTGCTGAATTGCCTTCAAAAAGATTTGATACAACCCCTCTATGGCTGAGAAATATGGTGCGCATTAGGCATATTCGTGGTGTTCTTTTGGAAGATGAGGAAGAAACACGTATGCATTTGCAAAAGTTGGATGAATCCCAGTCCAACAAAAAACCACCTAAAGTTAAGGAGTTGACTCAGACTCCAACAAGTTCCCGAGCACCATCTCCAGAACCAGAAGAATCAGATCAATTGGAACAAAAGTTTGCTCCATATGGAAAACCCATTTTGGGAAATATGTTTTTCTGTACATTATGCAATAAATATAAAACTAGGTTCAAACAAGATATGAAAGATCACCTTTACCGGGAGCTTAATTATGTCAAGTAAGTTGAATTTGTGAACTATTAAGAAGCAAAATACTGAAATAGCACGTTTTAAGATATTTACAAACACAGTAAGCAATTGTATTCATTTCCTAAATGTTCAGATGTGTAGACAGATAATTATCTACACATCTAAAGCACACGTACTCACTCACACGCACACGTACTCACTCACCCGAAGCACACGTACTCACACGCGCACACGTACTCACTCGCGCACACGTACTCACTCACACGCGCACACGTACTCACTCACACGCTCACGTACTCGCTCACGCGCACACGTACACGTACTCTCTCACACGCGCGCACGTACTCTCTCACACGCGCGCACGTACTCTCTCGCACGCGCGCACGTACTCGCTCGCACGCGCGCACGTACTCGCTCGCACGCGCGCACGTACTCGCACGCGCACACGCACTCACTCGCTCGCGCACGCACAAGTACTCACGCGCACAGGTACTCGCTCGCACACGCACATGTACTCGCTCGCACACGCACATGTACTCGCTCGCACACGCACAGGTACTCGCTCGCACACGCACAGGTACTCGCTCGCACACGCACAGGTACTCGCTCGCACACGCTCGCTCGCACACGCACTCGGTCGCTCACGCACGCACTCGGTCGCTTACGCACGTACTCACTCGCTCGCTCACGCACTCACTCGCACACGTACTCTCACACACACACTCACGTACACATGTTCACTTACACAAACGTGCACACACATGCATGCAACACATGCACATGTGCGCACACACATACACATGCATTCAAACTCATTGAACTTGCATGAGTGTGTGTACACACGATTATTCTCACACTTTCCGTTGCAAATATTTGCTCAATTTTACTAACATACCAACTGAGTTAACTCTATCACATGTGTGGTGTATTATATATTATACATACATTCAAGCATATTGTATCCCTTCTTGCACAAATAAATACTTTGTGCATTATGCGCTGACACGCCTACTAGCATCTGTGCTTGGAAATACTTACATACTTGCCAAAAGCATCAAGCTGTCACAACATAAATGCATGCTACATTAGATATATTTAGGATTATTAGTTGATTATTAAATGATAAATTCATTTAAAATGGTATATTGTTTTCTTGCTCAACTCATTTATGTTTAAGGTGGCATTTTAGTGATTTGGTAGTTGCCTTGCAAAATTTTGAAAAATGACTTTTCACTAGGAACTATCCTACACTTTACGTACCTTGGCAGATAGTAAGCAATTTACTTTCATTTTCAGGTGGATGTGTGGGCATTGTAATTTGACCTCTTGCAATAAGCATCATGTCCAGAAACATTCTAAAGTTCATGAGAAAGAAGGTAAACTTGAAAATATTGTTGCTCTCCAACCAGATGATGACGTTGAATTGTGGGTATGTCTATCAATTTGGCTATATTATGCTTACATATATTTAATTTTTCCTTTCATTGTATTTTATTGTTTTATAACGAAGAGGTTGTACAGAAAAATAATGTATATTTTGCACTCTCAATGGGTACAGAGTACACATTCTTTTAGTTATGCCAACATACATCTCTATCTTATTAATGAAGAAACTGCTGTAGTTTTAGATTTTCGCTCTATTCATCTTTTGCTGGTGATTATGCATTTCAACAGTACAGTTGTGATTTTTGGGAAGGGGGGTATGCACAGTGTCTTTTTTTATGACAAATTAGAAGTTATTTGACTGATTAGTTGGTATCAGAGGAATGATTCGTTCTGTAAAATAGAACCCAGCACTTATTTAATCTTTAATTACATGCAGACCTCTTAAATTTGTGCCTTGGTTAAACAACATTAAAGGAAACACTGTATGACAATAACATCAGTCCAGTCTTGTCATCAAGTAAATTATGGGAAAGAAATACGGGTAAATAATGTGTTCTTTAACATTGTCTCCATGAATGACTATTGCACCAACTTGTATGTCAAAGTTTCATACCTCAGATTTAACATTTGTGGTATCAATTTTGTTTGTTTTCATTTGATTAGGTGGAGCGACTTTTAAGTAAACAACATAATAGCATGAAAGGTATTCCTGAGGGAACTATCAAACCTGCATTACCTACCACCAAAGTCAAAGTCAACCCTGTTTCTGCACCTGCATCTGTTGGAACTGTATCTCTGATAAAATCAACAAATTCATCACCAAATAGTAAATTTGGGTCACCAGTAAAAGGAATTGAATCTAGAGATGATAAAGGAGAATCAGAAGATATTTCTTTAACTTCCATGAGACAAAATGCCCAAAAACGTAAATTTGTTGATATAGTTAAAAGTGATTTGGAAGGTGATGAGGAAAAAGAATTGAAGAAGAGCAGCTTATCACATGAACTGGATTATGAAATTAAAGATAATCATGATGATTTATGTAGAGAAAATGCGGTTTTGGAAGGTAATTGTTTTGAGTATTTAAGAAGAGTTATTTAAACACAGATCATTTTGCTGAATATTTCTGTATCTGTTTAACAGGTATTGCCCCCAACCTTCCAAGATTACCAGAAAAAGAGAAAGTGCTGAAGAAATTTAAATGCAAAGATTGTAAATCTGCATTTTCTGTTGTGAAGGGTTTAAAATTACATGTTCGTTTAGTACATCTTCGCCTTGGATGGTGAGTTAGAGATATTGTACTTGAGCATGCTTTAATGATTGAAAATTTGATATCGTAGTGAATTCAAAGTATTTAGAGTGTACATAATATCACAGTTGATTTAACATTTTTCTGTTGCAACACATAATTTTTGTTTTTAAAACTTATGGTGGTACAACAGCACATCCTTTACATTATCATTTGTAATAATAATTGAACTTTAAAGTTATATTTTCCCCTATATACAAGACACTTAGGGATGGTGACTCTTGCACAATCTATTAGACACTATCAACACAAAACCCTATAAATGGGCTGCTGCTAGAAAAGGAATTACTTCAGAGGCAGATTAAAACAAAGAAATAGATAATTTTGCAGACAAAGATAGAACAAAAATAGCATGTGATCCATAATAATGTTATCATGTGTGACTCTGAAATAATGCAACCTTTTCTTTTAAAACAGTTTGAGTTTTCATAGTTATAATTCTAATGCATTAATCTGCAAAGTGAGAACATAAGGACCTGTAACTTTTTAAAAGTTTCACTTCTTCCGAGTACCATCACTCTATAGTATGGTTGGTCATAAACGTTTGAAGTGCATTACTAAATGAAGCTATTGTTTTAAAAGTGGAGAATGCTGAAATATTAGTAGTATAAGTTGCTAAATGGACCCACACATTCTTGTCACAATTTCTTGCAAAACTATTGTCACCAAACTGCCTTAAACTACAACAATATGTCCATTTCTTAATAATAATAATAATAATAATAATAATAATAATAATCATTAGGGGGTGGATTTTCATGAAAGGTCTTTTTTTTAGTTAATGTTATGAAGAAATGAAATGACATATTTTTTAAGTTTGTATTTTTCATTGATTTCGAATTATGCCATTTTTTACCTTTTTAGTCATTTTTACTGCATTTTTTGCTGATTTCATCGATTTTTAACATCATTTTAAATGTAATTGCTTTAAACAATATTTATGAGTTACAATGTCAGCCATTAAGAGTACTATGTAATCTAAGGTTTCTGTGACATTTCTTGGTGCCATTACCATTCGGCTGATTTTGCAATAAATAAAGGCAGATATTTTCTTTTAAAGGACAGTCCAATCCGTAAGTTTGCAAGCTGAGGTGACGTGAACAAAAGGAAGAATCCTCATTCACATCAAGAACATATCAAACAGCTTTAGTTATTCATCTGAAGTAGTTTTGGTCAAATTAGTTATGTCATTTCCTTTGTTTTTAGGGACTTTTTAAAGCATTTTATTGATAATTTTTGGCAATGTTTTGGGTCATCAAAATCCGCCCCCTAGTCATCATCATGAGTAATATTTAGGTCCTGTGAGATATTCCTGGTTTCTAGTATTCCTCTAACACTGGTTAAGGTGTTCCTGGTCCTCTCACCTTGTCATTGGTCTCACGGGATCTCTATTTTTTTTCGATCTGAAGTTAATTACCATTTTTGTAAGTCCACTTTGTTGCATTCTTTTAATATGTTCTTGCTATTTTGCCTGATATTTCTCTATTTCAGTAACCAAATTCTTTGTAGTATTTTCCATATATTTCTTTGTTTCTTATTTTGTCTTTCAATGCTACCTGTAGCACAGCTATCAAACTCGCGGCCTGTTTCTTACATCATCAAATGTCAATTTCATATAGAAATTCCTTGTAGAGTATACAGGTTTGAGCAATCATTCCTTAATGAAAGCTGAATTAGTTCTGGATAACATTGAGTGGGAACATTAAGTTGTTCATTATGGTGACAAGATTTTGGAGTTTCTTTAAATAATTCAGCTCCCACACTCATAAGTAAATATTTACCTTAAAATTCACAGACTAAATACAAAATATTATAGAACACTTGTGCTTTATTTTAAAAATATTTTTTGATGTTTTTGAGACTTCTAATAGTTAAATCAAAATAGATCTTTTAGAACATTGAAGAAGAGCATAACTTTCTTATTATGAAATTTTTTTTTTAAAAAAATTGGAAGTTTTTGAGACAAAATTCTTTAGAATGTTTCTGAAAATGCTTTTTTGGCTTTACCAAAATGTCAAAGTATTAAGATTTTTGGAGTTTATTAAAAGATCATTTGAAGTTTTTGTGCCTACAGATGCATTAAATGATGAAATATATTTCTAAAGAAAATATTAATGATGCCTGAAACATTAGAAAAAAAATACATAATTTTTATTAATTTATGTATTTTTTTAAAATTCGAGTTTTAAAGGAAAATGCCACTTCCGTGATATTACTCACACTGCAACACTTGCATAACTCAAAAACTTGTTTTTGAGTTTTCAGGTGACTCATTTGAAATTTTCCGTTCGCATATTAAATACCAGTACATCAGTCCGACTACTAATTCTTGATACATTTACAAAGTACTATAAAGACATTGTACTAATAGAGAAAGTTAAAAAAAAAATTTTTTCCCAATAATTCATTACTGCCATATTTGAGATTTAGTTTATTGTTTCTCCCCAAGCTTCCATTGAAGCCCTGTACAAACAGTTTAAAAGAAAAAATGTTGTGTATGTATTATTGCAAAATTGCCACCATTAGAATCAATTAAGCTTTCGGGAAAAAAATAAGAATGGAAGTACTTGGAAACATGCCCCTTGTTGGTCAATTTCATTTCTGAATGTAACTTTGACTTTGTTATCAGATGATTGAAATTTTAAATTACATAATTTTTCTGTTTGAACGTTTTCAAAGAAAGTAATTAAATTTCATGGTGCTGTTAAAAATTCAGGATTAATTTTTTTTCTTGTGTTTCAGTTACACATGTGGATATTGTGATCGAACTGCTTTTTCTGTAATGGCCATTAAGCATCATTGTAAGTTTCATCATCCTGGTCAACCAGAGATCGTCAATTACAATAGAACTGCTTCTGGCATTAAACTTGACGATGAATTTTGGGAAAAAGAGTATGGCATCAAACCCAAAAGTGAAGAATCTAAAAAGAACCAAACAGCGTCTGGTCAATCTCTTCTTTCAAAAACTGTTACGTCTTCAAATTCAAGTTCCACAATTCCAGCTGAGGCAGCTGTTGCTGCTTCTCATGTTGCATCTTCCTCCAATCAAATACCTGTCAAGGTTACAAATTCTTCTGTTATACAAGCATCTTCCCACTCTGTCACCTCTGTATTACCATCCTCAGACTCAGCTTCTGCCTATAAGCTATCTACAGTTTCATGTGATTCTTCTAATTTAGTTGGAGATAAAGGAACTTCTGAAGAGGCAGATGATATTATTGTTATAGATGAAATTGCTAGGAAGTGTGCACATTGTGAATATCGATGTAAAAGTGCTAGTGACCTTCGAAGCCATGAAATGAGGCATTGGGTTGAAAAACCTTTAAAATGTGGTCATTGTGATTTTGAAGCTGTTCGTGAATACGAAATTAAGAAACATACAGCGAAAATACATCCTTCTAAGAAAGTACGGGTAATTCAAAAACAGCTGCCAAGTACACCTGAAATTAAGCCTTTGCAAAGAACCCGAAAATCGATGTACCATACTGGTGTGTCCTCAAATAAAATTGACACATCAGAAAATGCTGATAAAAGTAGTTCTGACCTTGTGGATACTTCAATAGAGAGTACTGTCAGTGTTCAAGAGAGTACTGGCAGTAAACCAGAGGAAATTCCTACAGAAGACAGGAAAGTGTATCGTTGTTTTTATTGCCCTCTTCGAGCAACCTCGTTAGGAATTATTCATCAACATTGGGAGAAGGTGCACAAAGAAAGAGTGACAGCAACTGGTGTGTCCAAAAATATTTTGCCTTTTAGATATAAGGAAGTAAATTTGAATGAACTTCTTAAAGGCCGAGAAACTGCACGTAAAAGGAAATGGACGGTGTTCACCTGTTCATACTGTAATAAGAAAGGCACTTATCAAGCTCTCCTTGTTCATCACAATGCAGTTCATCCAGATAAAAGTGTGAAAATATTTAAAGTTGTTACCCAGTATGAATGTGCAGAATGTAAATTGGTAACTTTGGCGTCAATATCACTTCGGAAACATTTTGAAACTACTCATCCTGGAAAAGAATTCCGATATATGGTGCAGACCTCAATGCTTCCAGCAGAAGTTTCGGATACAAATTTACCTTCCACTGGGGAAAGCGCAAGGCCTGCTAATTCGGCATTGCCTAGTAATGACTCACCATTGTCAGGTGTCCCTGAAAAGAAATCTACCTCTAAAGAAAGTCTTGTGAAATACATCTGTGGTTGGTGTTCTGAAACATGTTCTTCTGAAGGAAAAATGAATTTTCATCATACTATGTATCATTCGCACTTGGAACAGAAATTCTCTGTCGAAAATATAACTAATTCCTTGGAATCCTCTAACACAAAAATCAAAACTTTCTTCAAATGTCCAAAGTGTAGTTTCAAAGCGTCTTCATTTGAGGAAATGTGTGAACATTTGCGAAAGCATTCTAAACCTTTTAAGTGTGGATACTGTGGTCGTTTATTTGAATTACCCCTCCAAGTTCGTACTCATAATACAGTTATGCATTTGAATCTACCTCCAAAAATTATATCTGTGAAAGATGATTTATCTAGTTTGAAAGCTCAGGTCATTAGTATTGAAGAAGAAGTAGATGCTTCACAATATCCTGAGAGTGCATCGAGAGAAAAAATAGTTTCCCCTGAAGAGTTGGATGTTCCACGGAAGAAGCAAATGATTTTTGGGTTTGCTCGAAAGTCTACAAGTATGAAGCAAAGAATTTTCTCTGTTGCTCGGAAATCAACAAATCCATCTCCATATCGTAATTCCAAGCAAGAAGAATTGCTTGCATCATCAGAGTCGGGCAGTTCACGTGCTGATTCACCTCCATTGTTGGAAGAGTTTTCGTATTATGGACAGAAAGTTTCTCCTCTAGACTGGAAGAAAATTAGAACTACTGTTAATTATGGTGGTGTGCATGTGCAAGTGAATGTTGAGACTATGTCTCAGATCTTCAATTTGAAGCCTATTGTTGTAGTGAAAGATCTTAAAACTCAATGGAAGGTTTGACAGGAATATACTTTTGAATTGAGAGACTATGAAACAACATCTCTGATATTTTCATTAGACCATGACTATTGTCTCTAAAAGGTAATGCAGAGGAAAAGCAATTTTCTAAGCTATAATTGCTAGGTGCTAATGCTTTAAGATTGTGTTGGGATCTGAAGTGTAAATAGAGATGAAGTGTGCTTGTAAGGATGTAAAAGACAAGAATGGCATGCATTTTTGCTAATAGGTAGAAAATTTATTATTGTGATTTTCATAATTGCAGTGTTTTGTTTTACTGTTTCACTAATTGGTGAGGTTCTCAATTTTGTTATATAAACAGAAGCCTGGAGTCTGGAGATAGGTAAAACACAACCTAAATGTGAATTTGTGTTGTACATAGAATATATTTAATTGACAATTAAATGTTAATATAAGAACATTGACACCAAAATTAGTACTTACTCATACTTGTTTTGTGGTGTTAAATCATTTTCACTATTTTTGTTTGTATCATTAATGAAATATGCACTGTGAAGCATACTAGTGTGTGCCTGTTTGTGTATTTATATGGTGAAGACATTGTAAATTGTAATAAGATAGTTGTAATTTTTAATGTATTTTTTTAATCAGTGAAAACACTGAATTGAGTAGTATTAACTTATCATTTTTGTAATTCAGATTCAGTGGGTTCCTTTGCATTACTAGCACATTCAGTCGACATGGTATTTTCAAACTAGAGTTGAATAATTTATATAGTATAATTAGGGAGATTCCTCTGTTCAAATCTAGTTCTTTGTATATCAGAAAATTACATCTCTTGACATATTATTATAGGAGTTTGTAATTGGTTATACAAAATTCTTTGTTATAAAAGACTTGAAAATGCATGTTGTTCTTGTCACGTAATGTAAGTTATCTTTATTCATGCGTGTTTCTGAAGAGTGTTATTACATTTGTACAGTTTGTTTATTATTGTACATAGAAGAATGAATCTAGCTTTAAGTTATTTATCATTGTCACCACCATCAACATCATTATTATGCCATAATAAATTGTTATGGCATCTTTATTCCTTATTATTTTTGTGAAAATACAAGCAATTATGTTATTATTTATTTGTCTTCAGTTTGTATTTTGTTCTTCGTAACATCAGTGAGCTGTACTGAGGTATTATTTTATGTAGTTGAGACATTGTTTCAGTATTTAAGTAAATAGTAAACATTGTCTAGTTTGTAAGGCAAAACACTTTGTAATATAATAGAAGTTTTGCCTATATTTTGGACATTCATTACGTGGAAATTTTATCTTTGGTTTCATTTCAATATTTCATCAAAAGCATTCCATCAACCCGTGTATGAAGACTGGTTTTTATGTACATACATTCATTATTTTGTTCCATCAAATGTTATGTATGTGAAAAGAAAAAAAAAAAAAAACATTTAAATATTCTCAATGTAAGAATAAATATTTTGAATTTTTTAATCAAGCCTACAATTTTGTTCACTTAGTGAACGTGCTGTGTAAATCACTCTAGAGTGTATTGTTTCCTTCAGTGTGCCAAACGGAGATGGGAGTAACTAAACAGAGGAGATTAACATTAATAGAAGTGCGGGGAGAGGGGGGGGGGATCTTTCTGCACACTGAATTTTCAGAAGAAACAAGACCTATAATTTCATAACTGCTGCAAGGTAGAGGGTGAGAGCAAACTACCCAAAAATGTAAATCATCAGTCAAATTGTTTAAAATATTTATTGTATTATAATTTGTTATTTTTGATTTGTCAATTTGTCATCTTTGCTTCGCTTTCACCAAACTGTTTGAAATAGTTGGGCTCGACGTACAGATGCCCACTCATCCTATTTCTAACCTTTGCAGCAGTTGGAGTCATTAGGATTTCCATGGGTTTTCATTCAATTCCATGGAAGATTATAAAATGGGAAGGAGTAACTTAAGTACTCAAGGTGCAGCAAAAGATAAACAGGGCACTTTCACCAGACCATGTTCCAAACCTTAGACTTCCCTTAACTTCTGTTATTTGGGTGTAGCCGGACAAAGGCACCCAGTTCCGATCGTTCTCGATGACGAGCAGCGTGATGAGAGATATGTCAGAGATAGCTAGAATCGGAACTGCCATAATCCAGATCAATGATACCCATACTTAGACCTGTTGTTGGGATGTACCCTTCTGAGTCTGCAGGCAAATGGCAAAATGGATAACGAATGTGGGAGGAATCACCGAATCTACAACGTTCATTACACAAGCGTTTCTCTTGAATACCATAAGCGCGTTATTTATTACACTTTCGATGGTGGGAGAAACAACTATTGTGTACAAAATGTTACGGAATGCTATTTTACAACGAAAATTGAATAAAATTTCGATCGCACAAGGCCATTCTAATTTGAAAGATTTACAATACTTAAAGTAATCCTACAAAACTTTGCGTTACGGCTTATTCTGTAACCCATCATTTATTAAGAATGTGTTTCCTGCATTTTCATTGTCAACGTAAACTAACACTTTTATCTCATTTCTTCGATATTACTTTCTCGACTTCGTACTTAATTGTAAAGAGGACTGCAAAGCTGAAGCAAAAATTGGTAAATTTTTTCAAAGAAAACTCGTATTGTGAAATCCTGCCTGCAAAAAAGTGGATAATTCGTGCAGCTATTTATGACAAATTACTTTAATTCTTTTGGTTGAATCCACGTGTGTGTCCTTGATATTGAGACTTTGATTCACGGTAAAACTGCGCTCGTTAACAACACCAACGCCAAAACTGAGCAGACGATTTTCTCCAAATTCCTCGATCGATCTGGCCGAACTAATTTGAAAATATTTGATTTTGGGGGTACTTTACATGAAGCCTCAACACTTTCAGAAATTTCTAAAAAAATGCCTTCAAAAATCTCGTGGCCAATAGAGCCAAATATGCTCTTAAAACTCAGCGGTACGTAAAAACAGGATGAATTGAGACATATTTGGAACTTTTTTTGATAGAATTTTGTGTATCTACTTTTGTCGTGAATTATGGTTGCTCCAGTTTCTACATAAGTTATTAAATCTCACGAAAAAAAATTCTAAAAGGTTTCATCAGTCATTACCATTGTCTCATGTCGCCCTCAGTGTTTGGAGGGACGTGACGCGATACATTTTATATATATATATATATATAATATAAAACACACACACACACACACACACTCAAAAATATGCAAAAAGGAAGAAAAGACACTGCCAGGTTTTTAAAAGTTCGAAGTAAATATGGCCATCCACATCATATATCCAGTGAAATGGTAATTGGGTCCTCCTCACTTGCGAGACCTTCATAACCTGGCCACTCTATGCTTCCACAACTCCTGGGTTATGTCTATCATGGCCCTCTTCATCAGTACTTGTGCTAGAAATATTTTTCGGGTAGCGACGTTTAAACGTTCTCTTAGCACAATTTTTGGCAAATCTAGATTCCTAGTGAAGTGCAACGAAAAAATCCGTCCACGAAGACGAACTGTCTTTGTCCACGTTTGGTAATTTCTTCATGACCTGATTTTTATCGTACGGAAAAATATCTGCTGCTCTGAAACATTGCAGAATTTGCTCAGATTTTTTGTAACGTGCTGTTTAAAAGAGAAGGAAATAATTCCTTCCATTTACTCCTTTTGCTTCGCTTCTTCCAATTCAGTAGTGCCCCACGCCAGATTTAACTTCCAATATCCATATTTAAATCTTGATCCTTAATTACCAACTTTTACCTTGCTTCCAAGACCTTTTGTATTCCATATTCCAATATTCATTAACCATTTCAATTGCTTAGTTCGTCTATGGTTGCCTTCCGTTTTCTCATGATTAGGCATTTTACCTTTTCGTAGTTTTTATATGGACGATGTGGTGCTGGCCCGTCGTCCCAACCCCCTACTAGAAAGACAAGGATTGTTTAGGGTTTACTGCCCTAGGATGTTGGCTTCACCGTGTCTTTGATCTCCTCCTGCCCAGATCTCTTTGGTAATTTCCTACCTCCGTTGGCGGGATGGTATCCGTATCCGTCATCCCTAGGTAGAAGTCTAGCCTAGGATTTTTGCCTAAATCTTCGAGGTCATTGTCCTTTCGAGACCTTCTGCGCATTGTCCCGGATGTTCTCTTCTTGCACCGCAGTCCTCTTCTGGAATACTTCGTCTGACCCCTACCTTTTGACCTGTTCGGCAAGGGAGGCCCTACCAGTAGCTACGCTACCGCCGACATAGCTCACAGAATCCTGGGGATACTCAAGTTCCACCACCGTCAAAATCCCATGTACACCCTAGGTGGAGAATAAAAATATTTGAATCTATCTCAAGTGCATATTACTTGTTCCATAATTCCGCATTGGTGAGAGAAAATTACATTTCGATATCGGGAACCGTTTAGAAGTTATGAGGGTGGTCCATAGTTTGTGGGACATCTGCTTATTTTCAAGCAGAAATTAAGCGATAATATTTCGTAAAAAAAATTATACATGCCCTTTTTAATGAGGTGTGTTTAGGACAGATTTTGTTTAATGCAAAAATTATCTTTATCTTCAATTTTGTAGGTTCAAAATGTTAACTAAAAATTTTCAAAAATACAGTGTTCGCCGGACTTAGGACTAGCACAACTTTTTTATCGCTCATGTAAAGAGAAAAGTAAAAGAAAAAATGTTGCGGGTTTTTGAGATAATTTTGTTTATACATTGATGAATTCCAAATACGAATTATGCATCAACTACTCATTTAATTAAAAAATACATTTACTTTTTTAATGAGCTGATTTATTTAGATCATTTTGTTTAAAGCAAAAATGTCTTCAATTTTTTAGTTTTGAAGTATAATGGTTTTGCAATTTTCCAAAGTAGAAGAGTTCGTCGAAAATAGGACTAGCGCCACTTTTGATAGCGTCCTTTGATACATGTGAGGTGAACATTTAAAGACAGAATTTGGAACTGTTTTTTGAAAAAAAAGTATTAAAAAAAGTTAAAAATTGCATATTTTCATAAAGTCTTGGATATTCGGGAGACGCCGCGTCGTTGGCTGAGAGGTCGATGTTTCACCTGACATGTCGCAGGCTACCTTAGGGCAGTGGCACTGCGGCGCTACGCGCCCGGTGTTGTAGACTATCTTGCCTGGGTGCTCGGGAGGGGCGGGTGCACCGTGATTGGCGGAGACGTCTTTCTGATTGGCTGGCGGTCTGGGCCAACCTGGGCCCCGCGCCAGACGTTCCCGCAGTCGGACGTCCCCGTAGTAGGACGGCGGTGGACAGTCCCCTGACGGTCCCGAATGGATGGTAAGAAGGATTTCCAGGCGTGGTTAAGGGTGAGGCCGGCGTCCGCGTTGATGTTTTGCAGCCGACTGTTTATTTCTAGTGCCTCTTTTATACGTCTCGGCCAGTACCGGGTTTCCTTGTGCAGGAGCCGGGTCTTGTCGAAGTCTGTCTTCGAATCTGGCCTTCCTACTGAGATGCAGACATACCCCCGGAATTCGTCACCATAATGCACCACATACTGTTGCCGGCGTCCACTCGCATTTTGCGTTGCTGTTTTGCGAGAACGTTGTTTTTCAAAGTCCTGAAATGTATCGAATCAGGTTCGTCAAGACGAGTAGTTGTATGCAGTGATTCCAGTAACGCACATGAGGCTTTCTTAAGCCTTTCTCCCTCGGATAATTTCACGACAGCAGTGCAACTGATTCATTGTCTATTGTCTCGCTTTTATGACTAAGTACTGCCATGAGACCTGGGTCACAATCACAGGCAATGAGCTAGCTGACCAGGCTATGAAATCAACGACTCGGAAGCCACTTATTGTCATTTCCTATGTCCCGTGAAATTTAATGCATTTCTGAAAAGCTTCATATTCTGTGCATAGCTGGCACAAATCCACTATTAAATTAAAGGTGGTAAAGGATTGTGTTAACCCTTTGTGTTCCTAATCCTGTGTACCAAGGCTTGATGAAGTAATTTTAACTTGCCTTCCTTCCCACTTTTCACACGGTTTCGTTTCACTTTTCACATAGTTTCCTCCTTCGAGGACAATCGCCTTTATCTGAGAGGCAAAATACATGCAAGACGGACATCTCCATGGATCACGCCATCCTACA